ATAGACATCTCTGTGACGCAACCGGTGGCAGGCTGGATGACGATCTCCAACAAGGTCAATTTATTGGCACATGAGTGATAAGTTGTGATTAATTCTGAGACCAGATTTCAATACGAGACCCAAAAATAACGGATTTCCGTAAATCCCCAACCACTTGATTCCCCATTGGCGAACAGCCATTTTTTCGAGGTTAGGAGCAGAATCTCAACGTCTGGAATAGTTCGTGTGCGATCACGTGCTTTGTCCTGGCGGGCTGGGTCACGTCGGTGGGGAGTGGTCGGGGTTTCCCATGCTTGTGAGTGATAAACATATCATAGTGCTTCTATGCGCATTTACTCATCCCCCCTTTAACTACGAATCTGCCAGCGACATTCGTTGAATCAAAAAGGCGAGCACACCGAGACTCACTAATGAGGATCCGGGAAACAATACTTGAGTACCGGAGTTATCAGAGCGGGACATCTATAAAACTGAGATATTCAACTGTGTTAGTCGCCACCCACTCATTTCTAAGCCGTTTCCGGGATTGCCCAGCAGTATGGATGAGCGCCACAAGAATTACGGTCCCTCTGGCCCCGCGGTTTTAGGGGGGCGCTAGTTTGCGGAACGAACGGTGGCCCGGAAAAACGAGATAACATTTCGTTGTCATATACGGGCAGGTCGGACTCCATGTGGCTGCAGTGAACTACTACTTCTACCGAACACCGTAGGAAATTGTGTGGATCTGCCGGGGGGTGGGGGGCTAGGGCTGCGGGGGGAGGCCAGAAAAGACGACTTATTCGAAGCTATGAGGGGGATAGATACTTGTATGCGGAAGAAGTGTTTGACTTTTTAATTCTTTCCTTCTTCCCGCCGAACTTTTTGGTTCTAATTGGGCCATTAGTAGGCAGTGTGCTTCTTGACATGTTAGGGGTACTGGGGGCAATCATTTTGCCACTTCGCTATCATGCCGCGGACCCACTTGTAAACCCTCACACTTGTCGACGTTGACCGGTGATCCCAAATGGCCGGCCAGATCCATATTCTCGACTGGGGGAGGAGGATACTGCGGGTTCCGCCGCGCTTGCCACTTGGGATCAGTGATGCATGCACACGATCGCAGTTACCAATAAGCGCGGAAGGCCCCCGTGCGAGACCCCGCAATCTACGACATGCAGAGAACCCATCATGGAGCCCCCCCTCCCCCTTATTTCAACCCTACCTTTACAGCGAACAGACCGCCCAACAAAGAACTCTATGTAAGAAGGCGCACCTTGCCACGAGGAGAGAAGGGCGGTTGCTTTCCCTCATGGCCCCGTCGGGGTTAACACCCACCCATGTTTAACCATCTATCATAGAACCGACGTAGCGGACCCACCTGGTAACAGTAAGCGCTCATACTGGTACTTGCAAGAAAAGAAGTGGGGAAAAAAAGTCAGTGATCGGGTAGAAAACCCCGCCCAACTTTCCACGAATACCATAAATATCCCAATAATTTAGTCTTGTGCTGCGGTGTTGGTGTGGCCTCCACTGATGAGGTCTCGGATGTTATCTGGCTTTTTTCTTCCTCGTTCCCCTCGGGAGCGTTGAGTTGCTCAGCGCTTGCAGTCGTTTTTGCACTTTTTCCAGTGTATGTGGGAAACTTCCAGCGATTGGGGACAGGATTTGGACAGGATTTGGTTACTTGAGGTTCTACCGTATGAAAGAATTCTGTAGCATCTTCTTGTGGGGCTAACTTGGGGGTCAAGGACACGCCCTAAAGTTAATTTTGCTGTGGTGTCGGGGATCGCTTTTGGAGGGGCAGAAATTTCGCAATATCCAAGCCTTAAAGTTATCACCCAAATCCGCATAAAACCGAACCATCCTTTATAATAGTACAAGTAATCAAGTGCCAGCGGACCCCGCGGTATATCCCCACCTCCGCAACACCAAAAAAAAGAGTTCACTTGAAGCCTACCGATGGGAAGAGAAGTGTCTGTGTCGAAATCTCTAGAGTGGGGTTTAGCACCGCCTCGCTCGTGTACCTCTTCCTTCTTGGTCTTTAGCGTTGAATTATGGCTCAGAAAATGCGATTGCTTTGTCTAAGGCAGTATCGAGAATGAGTGTATTCTACTTGCCTTATCGATTCATCAATTTCGTATGATACACCGCGATCCTCCGGAATTTGGGTAGTTGGGGCAATACCGGTAGATTACCCTGCCTGAAGAGAAGAGAAAAAGATATCGTGCCGTGGGTTATTCTTAGGAAGGATAACATGGAGAAATGGGCGTGTATGTTTCCCAAGAGCGAATTTCAGAGGCATCTCCCGTGCGCCTCAGTTCACCTCTAAAACAGATGAATTTCCGCAGGGCTCTACCGGGAAGCGAAGGTAATGGACATGGGGGATGAAACACAAGATCTCGCACGAGTATGGAACACGATGGGGGTTTATGAACCAACTAGCACTTTTGCGCGCTACTGTTTTCAATGAGGGAACTCCCGCCTTAAAGCCTTTGTTATAAGTTAGCCCTTCACATTGGACTTCCGATTGCTAGCCCTGGTGAATAGCGGAGTATAGTACTCGTATCATTCCAGAGCCCATTCAGGACACCTCGGGCAGATCTTAAGCCTTGTGCTGCGGGTGGAACCGCGGCACAATACCGGTATCATACTCGAGTACTACCCGTTTTCAAAAGTATCCGGACGCCTTGGCGCCAATACTGCCTGTACTGGCGCCAAGGCGTCCGGATACTTTTGAAAACGGGTAGTACTCGTGCTGAGTGTCCCACACAACTCGTACATGCATCTTTCTGCAACGAAAACGCGGGGCGGGCGGGTTCGTAAAACGGGTAGCGGTATTTGTCGAGCCCGTGGCCATATTCCTGGATTAGGATTCCCGACAAGGCATGCCATTGTCGCCCCCTCTATCCTGGGCCCGGGTTAGACGCAGAAGCTCAAAAAAGCTCCAATTTGGGCGTCGGTACTTGTGCTGTACTCGTACGCAACTATTTTCCCGACAAATTGATGCGGGGTTAAAACCCTTTTTCCGAGGGAACTAACCAAGTTTGTTCTTAGGCCGTCTGAAACAGCTAGACTTGTTTCCAGGTGGGATAAGCCAAGATCAGGCAGTATATAGCTGTATGATACTTGGGTAGGTGACAGGATTTTCTGTTCTGCTCTGTTCAGCATTCAAATGACTCAGCACCCTTGGTGCGTTTAATCATTATCAACAAATGGCAAAGCGCAAATCGTTCCAGGATAATTCTACTATTTCAGACGACCCAAGGGATAATGAAATCTTTACCTACCCTACCGTGCCATTTTCCCATCTGGCATTTGCGCCCAGAATCGGAGGCAGGTTAGCCCTCGGGAGGTGCAGTTTGGGGCCTTCTCAACAACGCCATATCTTGCCCTGAGCCCACCATTCCAACAAGATTCCGTAGATCTCAGATACCGGTATTACAGTTAAACAGAGTTCTTCAATACCGTGTGATATCGCTTAAAGAAGTGGTTCTTGTGGAGCAGGAAAATAATTCTTAACTTGTCGCGATTCTCGTCTTTGAAAACCATTGGAGTCTTTAGCTGCCGATCCTAACAGACAGATGACCCGATACCGGTATTCATTACCTTGAGTATGATACTTCTCCACCAATGGGGTAAGGGCAAAAGAGGGGTGCAGTTCTATGTACGAGTAGTATCTACCTTCCCGAGCAGATACCGGTATGTGTTAATACAGTACTGTCATCTGGAAGGGGGGCGTGTGCCATTCGGATCGCTCGACAGGGTCCCCCCCCGCCTTAGCCCACAACCTCTAAATACCCTTTCCCCCTGCTTGCTAAGAGCAGACCGCCACCTCACCCGACAACCCTGGGAAGGAGTGCAGAGCTCTAGCGTGGGAGAAATAAAAAACATACAATGCAAAACACCTGAATGGGAGAAAGCATTACACTGGACAAAACAGCACCTGTATAGTGAGGCAGCCCTTCTGAGCCACCGCCAACGTTTGAGATCTAAAGTGCTTCTTTGCTAGTAAATTTAGATGGTACCGAATAACGTGGGTTATTTTTGTATCGGTAATTTTCAAGGCTCCCGAAAAACTTACTACGATGTTGTTCTCTGTTCTGGAGAACAGCGGATGAGGAACTGTTCGACACAAGTTTGACAATAGTCTCACGTGTCATATCCCGATCGGTCGATCCAACCCCTAAAAACCTGAAGGGTGAAGGCACAATATTGTACTCGTACCGGTATGCCATCTACCCCACAACAAGTGCAAAAACCACGAGCCTTCCCTTTCACCAAATTTGCCTTTATCGGCAGAGTCCACCAACCAAGCCCCAAAACTGCCAACGATCGATCCCACCTCTAACTGCGCAAATTGAACCACCCGAAAAAAAACAACAACCAGAAACCCGCCTCTTCCCTCCCGCTCCGCACAGATAGCACATCATACCCGCTCACTCGACGCGCTGTGTCACCCAATGGGACGATTTTTAATACTCGAGTACTGTACTGTATGTATGATGCTGTCCTTATTAATTAACCAACTACACCCGAGTACTGTATTCAATCACCCGACCATTCATTGATATGGGTGGCCTTAAGGTATTTTGGTGAGCGGGGTATTTTCATTTCGTTGGAGAACGGGAGGCCTAACATGGCTTGCTAACGAGCGGTTAGTATGTATCATACAAGTACCCTACAGTATGATACCAGGCGTGGTTGGTTGCTCGGGTACCGGTACTTGATCCGGGCGGTTTTTAGAGGGTGCACGTGGGCTGCCGGGTAAGCGTCTTGGCGGTGTTGGGAGGTGGGGCAAATTGTGATAAATTTGTGCGAACTGTTATCTAGGTATGATAGTTCTGTTTGTTTTGTTGTCGACAGCTATTGCTCTTGGGGCACAATGAAGGTATGAGAACTTTACCGGTGTGACTGTACTGGGAGATATGACAAAGACCCTTGAAATGCCACTTGTGGATCGTCCCAATTTCGGCTCTAAGGGCTTGACGACCAAAACTTTGCCTTGAAGTGGCTTGAAATCATAGATTTTACCGCAAAATAACTGAATAATGAGGAATAAACTAGGGTACATCATTGTCGTGATACAATCAATTTGGTGACTCCCTTTCCATTTTTTCGTGGCCAAGGTCTACATCCGCTGCTAGATCAGCCTCATGGTTCATCCCTCCTGTTGATTCTGGGGAGGTCGATTGCGTAGATATAACGTTTTGAGTGGCCGGCGCGCTAGGATCCGGAGAATTCCCACTCTCTTCCCCTTCTTGAGCCCCCCTCTCTCTTCCTTGAGCCCCCGTATCTCCTCCAAGAGCCTCCGTCCTTCCACTGCGCCCACTAGAACATTCCACCCCGGGTTCCATACCACCATTTGCCTCTTCGTTCGTTATATTTTTATCTGTTTGCTCGACACACTTATCACTATCCCTCGTCTCGACAGTCACCCAAGCCCGATGAATCACAATGCTTTCAGGTCGGTTCTCGCCCTCAACGAGCTCATAGCGGTAGACACAGGGAAAAACCGATAAGGAAACTCTACAATCGTCATCGCAGGTACCTGGATCGTCTTCCTCCAGTGACATATCTGTCCCAACATCTTCCATGGCGTACCGGGAAAACTGCTCCCCAGGAGCTATGGTAGCGAAACAGAACCAGTAGGGTTGTTGTGAAACTTCTACCGCTAGATTGGCCGCCCGTTCGACTATGGCTTGCAACTTTTGGTTGCGTTTGAAGACTTTGGATTCGTCCGACTCGGCCAATAGTTCTCCTAACCTCTCACAGAGCCCTTTGGACGAAATGCAAACTTTTTCATTTAGAACCCGTTTGAATTCCTCATCCTGGACAAATAAACTTATCGTTTGCAATAACCAAGGGCTCTTTTGGTTACCTTTCCTCAAGTCAGCATTTCTGGCCTCTTGAATAGGGGCCGACTTACCCACCAGTCTTTTTGATCCTTTCCTCAAAATGGAGGAACGACCCTGGCAATAAACCAAGTAGTGGAGGGTCGAAGATATGCTCTTTCAGCCAGTCAGCGAGCAGTCCAGAGACCACCCGGCGGCTTGCGGCGCGATCCTTGAATATCTCAGGTAGGTTGGACCCACTTGCGATTCCACCAATGGCACCCTGGAGATCCCTGATGACTACTGTAGGAACAAAGGTCTTTGAGTGATGGAAAAGGTGCGTAAACGACCAATTGCGTATGTGTTTTGCAAGACTTGCGAATTCTCTCGCAAAGTACTCATCGTCTCGGATTGCAGGGGTGTTGACTTGCTGGTTTTGTCGTGCAATCTCCCCTGTAATCTTATTGAGTTGCCCAATTCGTGTTTCCAATTCCTCGGTGATCTTGGCATTGTTATCCCTCAGGGCTTTTATCTCTCGTTCTTGCTTCTTGTTTGCCATAGTGATTCCCTCATTCTTCACACGAAGGTCATTGCACTGCGTATGGAGCTTGTCACGACGTTCAGAAATCTCTTTACACTTGTATCGATGTTGTTTTGCCGTGTCCTTAGCTGTACCGAGCTGTCCAAGTGCGTTCTGGTATTCCTTAGAGAGGGTAGACTTTTCGTGTTTTAAGTCCTGGAGTTTTCTTTCTAACTCCGAATTCGCGGCGTCGCAGTCCTTTAGGCGCTTCTCGAGTCCTCGAATACGGTCCTTGTTTTCGCGTTCTATGTTCTGGAGCTCTCTTTCTAGTTTGGAATTCGCAGTGTTGGATTCTCTTAGGAGTTGCTCGAGTTCTCTAATATAGCCCTTCTTTCCCCCCGCTTCCCGTACTCGTATAAAATCGCCGGGGTCTTCAATTTCATAGCCGGTCCTTCCACTCCCACCCCCGCTTATGGAGTGTCCCCCTCCCTGACTTGTCAGTTAGAATTAGAGTGTAAAATTCACTTGATCAGAGTATACTACCGTCATAAATCGTCCAGCCATTTCCATCACAAACCTGTGGAGTTGCATATTTGGAGCTTTAGAAGAATTATCTCGATTTGGCGTTTGTGTTGTTGGTGATGTGTGAAATGGGGAAGTGGTTCTTTTCAGAGGGTCCACGTAAATAGTTTAGGGTAGCGCACCATGTACTCGAGTATTACAAATATAACAACCAATGACGGCCTGTCCTATCGTACTTTCCGATGAAATGAGGAATGCCCGATTTCATCGAGTTCTCCGTGCTTTGTTCTGGGACTAGGGTGGACTTGAAACTTAAGGCTGCCATAGATGCACTTCTACCGGCAATGTCGGTGTCTGTACGGTACCGTACTCGAGTATGGATATTACCGGGACTGCACAAGTATGGTGCCAGATGCAGCCTAGTTTAGGCGCTTCAGTGGTAATGATACTGATAACTTTTGTCCAGTAAAACTTGTGCACAATCAAGTGAAACATGTGGCCGCACATTATGCATTAGCGAACTGCGATACGACCTACTACTCGTAGAGAAATCTATTTTACTATTGTCGGCCTGATTTTCCCGTCAACCATACTGAAAAGTACTCACCCCCATGCTGGCCTGTGTCCCATCATTCTGTATCTGGAATTTCTATATCTGGAATTGTGACGAGAGGCTGGCATAGCTCTGTCCCTCCCACCGGAGTCACGCTTATGCTGTCTCCTTTACCATATAAAGTGGTCTACGGAAAACCAATTGATAAAACCATCATCTGTTGTTTCACCCTCTCTTCCACCTCCGCCGTGTGGACTCTTGCCTGGAAACAGGTAATCTTTAATACTACATCCTTTTCTATCAAAACAGAGTCTGCCCAAGGCGAGCACTCCAAAACCAAACCTGACTCCTTAGACTTTCTGAAGCAAGCAAGGAGGGAGCCATCTGAACGATAGGATGAGCCAACTATCAGGTGTAAATTCGATCAAGATCGGGATAGACTTTGGAACGACATATTCTGGTATAGCTTGGGTATACAGACTACTTCCTTGGCCAGCGTGTGCTTTTCTAATCTTTGGAATTTATACCATAGGCCTACAGCTCTACTCCCGAGAAGGTCAATGTCGTTGGTAAATGGGTCGCTGGGGTAATTATGAATGTATAATCCTCCATTGGACTCCGAACCCTTACGTGTTTATAGAGAAGCAGGACATCTGGAAAGGCGCCTAGCGAGATAGCGTACACGTCGTCAGGTGTGAAATGGGGATTTGGAATTCCCATTAAAGAGCCAACGCTCACTTGGTTTAAGCTTCTCCTGGACCCTACCAAATATCCTCTCGCCAACTCCACCAATTCACCCTTGGCGAGGACAAAGCAGCTGATACCCCACGGGAAGAACCCAGTCGATGTTGTAGCCGATTACCTGTCTGAGTTATACAAGCACACCATCAATCATCTGGAGAAGACCCTTGGGAAAAGTACTGTTGAAGTCTCGCCCCTTGATTTTGTTCTCACGGTTCCTGCGGTAACTTGTCCATTGCCATTCATAACTTGTTGTTTCCGTCAAGCTTATCTATCCCGTAGGTATGGAGCGATGCAGCAAAGAACCTAACCCTCCAAGCGGCCGAGCTTGCAGGTTTCAGAAGAAAGAAATCCATTCGTTTAATATCAGAGCCAGAGGCAGCAGCAGTCTGTTGCTTGAAGGAAATGGAGCCCAAGAATCTCAATGTAAGCCTCACGTCAATATGCAAATGACTTTTGTTGGGCCAGTATCAAACTTTATTAGGTTGGCGATACGTTCGTGGTAGCGGATTGCGGGGGTGGGACAGTAGTAAGTGCCTAATATTTCGATTTCCCAGGTGGACCCCGAGGTTATCGCACGGGGTGCACGACTCACGGAAAGTAGGATGTCATATCTTATACCATCACAAGAAAATTTCCCAAGTTGGAGGTGGTAGAATGTGTTGAAGGGACCGGGGGGCTGTGTGGGTCAACAGTCCTGAACGAGCGTTTCGAAGAATTGGTCAGAGACCGTATCGGCGATAGGTCAGTATCAGAACCTTCTCCTCGTGAATCATGCGGGTAACAAGGTTTTCCAGATTTGATAAGATGAAGCACGAGGGAAGGGTGTACATGATGAAGGAGTTTAATGATTCTTTGAAACGAAACTTTACCGATTCTGAAGATGAGGATCTTTTCACATGCCCCGTACCCGGTATCGCAGATGACCCCACGGCAGGTATAGAGGCTGGGATGTTTATCATAGATCGGGACGACATGAGAAAGATATTCAATCCCGTAGTGCAGAAGGTTGCCCAATTGGTGCAGCAACAGGTCGACGAAGTCGAGAAATTGATGGTCGGAGATGAGACCCAGCTTTTTGTGGGCTATCGCAGCTAATACTTCACTTATAGGCAAACCCCCCACCACCAGTGCAGGGGTTATTTGCCGACACACATTCCTTGGGAAACTTTGCTCGCCAGACGCGCCAAGTCAAGGCCTTACTTCTGGTAGGGGGATTTGGTGAATCCGAATATCTGCGCAGCCGGCTCCAGGCCGAGATCAGGACAAGGAGCGGCAGTGAAATATCAATCCTGCAGCCGCCTAACGCGTAAGTTAACCTGAGGAGGTTTTGCCTTCGTCACACACCCCAATGCTAATACACAGTAGTTGGACCGCTGTTGTCCGAGGTGCGGTGATGCGCGGGCTGGAGGGAGAAATGGTACGCATTCGTAAGGTCGCTAGGAACTACGGCAACTCATGCAGCGTGCCATTCATGGAGGGGTACCATCCTAAGAGAGACGGTTATATCGACCCTCACGATGGAGAGTACATGTGCCGGAACCGGATGCGGTGGTACATCCGAAAGGTACAAACATATGCCACTGGTTATCCTTTCTGCTCTTGTGTTCTAATAGAGTTTAGGGCGAGGATGTCGAAGAGAGCGACCCGATTAGACATTCATTTTGTATCAATCGTAGTTCACTCGGCGAGGCCGACGATAGATTCACGATCCCACTTTTAGCAAACGACTCCTCAGACCCCCCCAGCACTAGCAAATCATCCGGTAAGTCATCCAAATCACATTTCATAGAAGTCTCCAATAATTCTGACTCTTCCTGCAGACGTAAACCCCGTCTGCACCCTCGAAGTGGATCCCAATGTCATCCCGAGGGAGAAATTTAAAAGGAAAATCGGAATCAATGGTCTGCCCTATTTTAAGCTTAATTTCGACCTTTTGATGAGCATTCAATCAGCATCGATATTGTTTGAATTTGATGTTGATGGAACCATATATCGGGATGTGAAGGCATTTTATCATTATGCCTAGGGAGGGGAGGTGGGATACTCCATTTTTATCTGTTTCCATTCAATACATGATATTTTTTGCGCATTATTAAGCTTGAAGTTGTGCGAACCTCCCCATCGCACGTATGAAAGGAACCGTATTTTCTTTGGCGTCGGGTATTGGATTGACTTGAAACGATTTATTATTCTGTGATCTTCTTGCATGTCCATTCGTGGCCAAAAGGGTACCGAAACACAGTACAGTACACGGGGGGAGTACTGTACGTGCTGCAGTCACGCAAAATACCCACCCATACTTTATTCAAAGTGTGGTACGGTTGAGAACGGAAGAATGCAGACCAAATCGCTGGTAGCGATGCTGCCGAATATTTTTTCCAAGCGCTAGGCACTCGCGCATGATACCAACACGCACTATTCAGCGAGGGTAATATGACTTTCAAATATGCATCGGGTGCCTATTTGATTATGACAGAATTTTTTGTAATAGTTACTGGCATGAGTTTTTGGAAACTCCATCGTGTCACTAGTTTAGTTATCTCGCTTGCTTTTCCTTTCTGTTATTGTTGCATTATGCAACACCGTTGTCGTTGACCTTTCCTTTTTGCTTATGATACCTCTACCGTACATCATGTATTGATTAAGTCCGCCTCCCAGAAGCATAATTAGATAGGGTCCTCAGGGATAGGTATAAGGAAGCAAGCAATACAACCTCAATCAAGAATTACAACAGCTTTTGTTGCAATATAGTGGTTCAGTACTTTTGTTCTGTTAGAAGGTTGTTGTGTTACCTGCTTCCTATGCTCTATGTGGAAAGGGAGATGTATGAAGATTGCATGGCAGGTTGAAGTACACGCAATCCACATAGGACACATATGTACCATACTTGCTTCCTTCAGCTAGTTTGAACGCAATCATCAATTATCCGCTGCGCACAAAACGTTCCTCCTTTTAACAGTTTTGGTGCCAAGCGCCTGAGTGATATATTGTGATGCTTGTTAGAATTACCCAACCCAGAAGAAATTTATTTACATCATTTTAGATGCGTTAAATCGTGATGTTTGTGCTTCTATTCTGTCCTCTACATCTCTTCCCATAAGCGCGGAGGGGATGGGGTGGGGAGATCGGGGGCATATGGTGGCGTTGCATTTTGCTGTCGGGGATGGGCGCCCAATTCACCTTCCCCCTTCGCGTGGACACGATAACGCTTAAATGAACCGCACCTTTATCCCCCCGGGAATCCGCGAGCATATGGACTGTTTTTTTGTTTTCTTGATTCTTTTCTGCTCAATTTCGATAGGCATCTGACAAGCTATCAGGGATCAACTTTAGAGAGTTCTTGTCTACAGTTATCCAATCTCGCATTGTGATAGATATATAAGATTTGAATAACGCGGTGTTTTAGAACCAACACAATGTCACGGCCTTTGTTCAGAGAGATGAGGAATGCGCATTTGAAGTGCCGCTGCCAAAAAAAAAATCTAGTATGATAAATGAGATTTTACTATTCGTTAACTATAATAGGCAATCGCATTGGGAAAATAAATGTCAAAAGCCATGTTCGGCGCGCCACTTTTTAGCACAAATTTTGGCATCAGGATCTTTCTCCTTGGGGGGAGTGTTCGGTTACGTTGGGTAACTAACCAATAGTTGAGTTACGACTGATCTTGCTTGTCGCCTGTCAAGTCATATATCTTACAGCAGAACCGACTAGCCCTCAATCATCTCCCGGGCGGTTTGCTATTAAGTGAGCTTCACATCACTCAGGGCTTGTAAGCCTGTATGGTGATGGTGCGTTGTTGTATGATAGCGCAGGCGGAACAGTCACCCGTTGGTGATGGCAACTTGCGTAATCTTGAGGGGGAACGGACAGTGATCGGAAAGAGAGTGTGTGTTCGCTGTTCAATGATACTTACAGAAGAAAGACTCAGAGAAGTGGGGTGCTCAGGTTTAACTCTTCAAGCTGTATCACTTTTGCGGAGATCTTTATTCCGGGTTTCAACGGTTGGCTGTACGCTGATACTTGGCCTTCTACATTTCTAATTTCTAATCTGCTGTATCTGCTGTATCTACGATTCTTCTAGTGTTTCTGTTTATTTGTGCCCCCCCCCCCATTTTTTTGGGCGGGGGCTTAGCGCATTGTTGGTACTATATTTCCCACGATTTCTGTTTGCGCGTGGGTGGAACGAGTTGACCCCCTGTGACCCTAAGGCGTGATAACACCAAACAATATTTTATCTATCTAGCTGTCTATAATCTGGTCAATCGAGGGGAAAATCCGGAAGCTATGAACCAATGCTTGCAGCATCTCTACCAACGAAATATTATTTCTGGCCATCCCTCCCCTGTGGCCCCCCGAACCCAAAGCAGATTTCAGAAACAGAAACAGAGAATGAATCACGAGTGATATTCCATGTTCTGACTTCTAGATTGAACCACTTCGGGGATATAATATCCACCACTCTACGCATACCCATAAACTGCGCAAGCATCACTCCCCCTATCCGGCAACCTGACCCACATATCCACCTCGGGCACCTCCTCGCCGACATGGCTAACGACCACAAGTGCCTGGCGCGCGTGGTCGAACCCATGTGCAAGAACACGAAAACAGCGATCCCTAACCGCATTATCCATGCCGGAAAAGGCTTCGTCAAGAACCAGCAGTTCGCGCTTACCCACCACGGCACGCAGGAACAGAGCGAGGCGCTGAACGTTCAAGCACGCTTCGCCAAAGACAGTGTCGTCCCAACCACCCGGGCCGGCGACGATGTCTTCGAATTCGGCGAGCAGCGTCTCTGCGTATTCTGTTGCTGGTGGGGGCTTCGCACGGAAGGTCTCTGCAAGGCCAGAGAGGATGGTGCGCCGGAGAGTGTACGCTTTTGGGAAGAAGGCGTGGACTTCTGGGGATGCGTGTCCGATGCGCTTCTGTACGTCGAAGATGCTGACGCCCGGTCTTCCGGGTCCTGGAATGCGAGTTTGGTGGCCAAAGTGTGTTATCGGTAGGGCATAGGTCTGCGGGTGATCAGAAGTTAGGAGGGATATCAGTGTGGTCTTCCCCGATCCGTTAGGGCCGAAGAGACCCCAGCGCTCGCCGGCTCGGATTGTCCAGGAGAAGTTCTGTAGGAAGGGGGGGTGTGGGGGGTATGTTATTTGGATGTTGCTCATTTGAATCAGAATTGGGCTGGAGGTAGATTTTGACGGCAGCGTGATTCGATCTTGTGATATGGACGCCGGGACCGCGGGGGCGGACCAGACTTTGTCGAGGAGGGTTGGGGCGGGTTTTTGGGTGTCGTCGCCTTCTTGTAGGATTGTCTTTCCGGATCGACGGAGGGTCGAGATGACGAATTCTTTTTGGCCCTGCGCGAGGATACGGTTGTTAGATATAAATGCTATGTGTGTGCTCCAGGCTGGTACAGGGTCTTGCGGGCGGAGACCGAGCAGTATCTGTGTCGGTTGTGGGGCGCGTGGGAGGCGGGAGAGTAGTTCTGATAGTAAATTGCGAGACGGAGGATCGAGTCCCACTGTTTTACGTGTCATTATTAGCGCTCACTGGCTCACCTACCCGTTCATACGAAGCCATACTAAACGGCTCATCAATAGCCAACACCTCCGGTCTTTTCAAAAGCGCTTGTGCAATTCTTGCCCGCTGGCTCTGTCCATTACTCAACGTCATAACACTTTGATCTAGAAATTCCCGTAGCATCAAGGTTCCCGCGACATCCTCCACTTTCTTCTTCCTCTCCCCCAGTGCTTCCTTCCCTTTCACCTCCCCTCCCTCCTCAAAAGGATTCTTCCCAGCAATACTACCTCCCAGCCACGTCCTTAGAGAAACATCAGATTCCTCCCTCCAAGCCTCATACCGTGCAGACAAGTAGGTTTCCCCACTGTTAGCTCCAGCAAGCATCCCCGTACTCTTGCTCCCAGTGGTGAAAGAGACGAGTTCAATGGTGCCCCGTAGACCGGGATAGCATCGACCGGTAGGTGGGATAGCGATGTGACTACCACAGAGGATGGATAGGAGAGTTGATTTTGACGACCCAAGGATTGACCATTTCTGAGCGGGATGGAGGGCAAATGTTGTGTTGGGAAACAGTATCGGTGCAGTAAGCGGGGAGGTTATGGGGCGGAAGGAGGTGGAGGTTATCGAGATCAAAGGGTGGCGGGACATTCTATATTTTCAACTCTGGTATGATATCATAAGTGGCGAGAGAGGAGAGTGGAATTGAGGGAAGAGTACAGTACTCGCAGTGAATGTAGTGGGAAGGGAAGGCAGGTTTGCTCTGAGGTCATATATTCGAACCCTAACCCTCAAGATCCCTGCCTGGAGAGATGATATGAAAGCCCTTATGATAACTCGACATTGAGCCATGATATGATATCATTCAACAGCCGAGGTCCCGGTGACGCATGACACAGGAAGAGCAACCGTGAATACCGGTACTATTAAAACCAGACCAACTTGATCTTACTTGCGCCCTCGCATCTCTCTAGCTTAGTCTACCGCAATGTTGCCCTCACTTCAACAGAAGCGTCCTACAACCCCCACCGCAGTTGGTCCCCTTCACAACCCTGGAGCGCCGAGCACGTGAATTCACCTACTAATAGTCACAATAGAAGAAACCGCTTAAATTTATCTCTCCGCCGCCCGAGCAGAGAACACACAATCACAACCCGGCGGTGCGCCACCCGGTGTTTTTCACGGACCGGCTGAGGAAGGCGCCGAGTGGGAGAACAGGGGGTGCGACTGGCGAGAGGATGAATCCTGCAGCGACGGGATACGTATATCCGGTGGGGGTCACGAAGCTCTAGACTGTACCGTAACTCACAGTTAATTCTGCTAAGAACGAGATACGCTTTTTATTTTATTTTCTGCCTTCTTTTGGAAGGCTGTGAGGGTGAAAGTGCAGAAAGCTCAATAGGAGGGCTTTTGGTATGGAGAGTTGTGCACTACCGCCCTACCGGTAGTGCGATGCCGTGCTGGAATGCTTGTAGTTTGGGGGGGAAAGAAGAGAAAAAAAAAGAAAAAAGGTATGATAGCGGATAGATTATGGACTCATGTAGGTGTTTAAAACAGATTTTCTAAAACCTGGTTAGCTACATTTTTACACCGAAAGACTACCGCTGAAGATTGAAGGAATAAAGATGACCTCCTTTCACTAGGGGGAAACTCCCCCCCTTCAAATTTGTGCCTGTGAAGATAACCTGCTCTTACGCTATTGGTAGCTCAAACTCTAGAGGTGTCCATTTTTCCGTGATTTTCTAAATTTTATTTTCCCCGAGTTAGTGAGGTTAGAAATTCGCACCTTGTGTGGTGCGGTTTGCTTTACAGTCCATGGGATAGCTGTATGATGTAATGCATGCGCGGCCAGGATGGGAATTGAACTTTCAACCTTTTAACCAATACACTCTCTGGCCCGAATAATGGTCACGCTTTGCCTGAAATTTCACGGTCTGGTGACCAATCATCAGAGTCCGCATTGACCTTGTCTCAAATCTCACCAAATGAGAGATGTCTCGAAAAAGTGTTTGGAATTTAAATTTGATGATACTGCATCATACAATAAATCGCTCCGCGATGACCAACAAAGTTATCCAATGCTCTAGCATTCCTACCCCCCCCCCCACGTTTGGAAATGTCAGCTAGAGCAGGTTCCTCCACTTCAGTGGTGAAAATGCAGGATTTCGCAGCGTTTGAATTGCTCGAAGGTTAGCTAGCGGTATTACTTTGTCCACATCAGTTCTTTGCAGCTGATCGCCTCAGAGCAAGATCCTGCACGTTTCTGAGGTCCGGGGACTGCCTGGGATTATATTGCTAGGGAATGGCTTGACCCCTCGCAGTAATATCAATACTGCTAGGCTAGGGCTACGTCCTCCCCTGAAAAGCAGCATTTATCGAAATATGGAGAAATCAGATCCTAAGTTATCACCGGTGTGGAGGGTAATTCTCTAGAATGGTATAAATGTCTCGGAATATCTAGTCCTAAAATAAGACTTCTACTATATGCTATCCACGACGAGCGGCTAGAGGAAAGGTATATTATAGGGCCTATTACTATACACCTTAGATGTTAGAGCATATACAAGGGGTATATTATGCAGGCCAGGCAATGATAATATCCCACTTGAAACTATAATAGCGGGAGGCAAGTGCCCCATCGCGTACCAGAGCTCAATGCTTCCAATTCTCCAGTAGGATGGCCACCGGACGCCTGGTTGTCGCATTGCTCAGAGATCAAGTGCATCTATTCTACGCCACACCCACAGAACCACCGCCAGAATTCCCATATTGCCAAAGAAGTCCTATCCTCCCTTACCTTCTACGCACGAGTTCAAGCACGCCCAATCTCTTGAGAACACCCCAAAAACTGAACTCTCGACATTCCCGTTCCTACCCCTAGAGTATCTCCGGTCTGCCAGGAGCATTTTTTTTTTTTTAACCCTCCCTGTGCCAATCGTTCCCGCCCACAAATTTTGATGAGATTCGTTGAAAGCAACCATTTCCCACACGTGGGGATGCGAAAATCCCCGATTATCAGGGTAGGGAAGCGGCAAACACCCGTCTGTAGGGCATGTGGCGCGATCGCTGTATTTCGGTATCAGGGATACTCGCCCACCCCAGCTATTATGCCCGCGGAAACTGCTCTCCACTGCCATGACAGCAAGCGCAGTTACGACATCTTACTAAAAGCAATACCGCAAAATTGACAAAAAAAGATCTACTAGGCCAAGAAACGATGGTGCGATGTGATACCACACCATAGGCCCTCAGTACTTGTCTGCCTTGTTCTCGTCTTGCCTATCATTGATAGCCGACAAGGTCACAACACATCACTCGATGCTTAAAATTCAGGAAGAAAAGGTATTGACTGAAGAAAAGATTGCACAGCCAAAAGACCCAAACATCCAGCTTTAGTCGCCAACACCAATCGCCCAACTCAGGCTGCCGTTAGTGAGGGGTGTTCAGCGCAGTATGTTAACCCCCAGCCCAACTCAAACCCCACCCCGAACCCTCAAAGACCGACCACACTTGCAAGAAAGTGTGCAAGTCGTTGCGCTGTAGCTCGATACTATTTTCACTCCACCGTTGTGCAGAAGGCTAATAGACTGAGAGGCTGCATGTTTGTATGGCAGGGGTGGAGGCTGGAGCGCGTGGGGGTTGGATTGGTGGCCGGTGTAACAATGTTGTGGTAGCAATGGTAGAAAGCGCCCTAGCGCAATGCTGTGCCCCACGGATATCCACTGGGAGTAGACGCGGGGCAATAAGCGGGATATAACAATCAAACTTCATTATCCCGTGGTGAGGGTATAATGAAACTAACTCTCCGGGAATCCCTTACAACAGTGCATCTCGCAGAAATTTTCCCGTTGCTCACGATCCTGAAACAAACAATGTCCTCGGCAAACGCCAATGGAAACACCCGCTCCGTCGACCTAATCGGAGATGACAAAAAGGCCTGGTGCCAAAAGCCCAATCTCCGCCATTCTGTACTTCTGTCTTGTCCTGGCTGCAATGGGTGCGGAGTGGGCGTCTGGATTCGATGGGAGAGTATTGTGAAATGGCTTGCGGGTCGCCAAGACCCGAGGTTCATATAATCATTTCCCATCCCCTTACCAATCACCCGAAAGTTAGACTGAGAGACTTTGGCAAACCCCGTGGCACAATAATCAAAATAATGAACTCTATATATTCCCTCGCTGTGCTAAGTATAATGCCGAGAGCGCATTTGTTGAATGATGAGTATGGACATAAAATGTAAGATTTAGTCGGGAGCGCGGTAATGGTTGTCGGGGGCAATATTGCAGACCACCTTTCTGCGTCAGTGCCACCCTGATATTGATACTAGCGGGGAAGTGCTAGTTGGTGTGGCGATAGGGGCTCTCTTGGCTGCGAGATTTAGCCTGTGTTGGGGATCCCGTTTGCACTTTCTGGCGAAGTTGTGGTTGTGCTGGAGGTAGGAGTGGCATTGGAGACGCACAAGGCTCCCAGCGGTGGATAGACTTCGTTAACCCCGACCCTTCCATGCTGATGCCTTCCATAATAGATTGGATCTTGAGGATCCAATCGGTACTACGGATTGTCCTCCCAAGCCTTTAGTCGATCTTTAATTGGAAAGCTCCTCAAATACAAACACCTGAAGTGCCAATGACTGACATTCCTCAGGACGTTGCGGAGAGCCCAAGGTAAGCGCCCCCCCCCCCGGGATTCCTGGCAGCAATTATGGCATCATACCCCGCAAGATGGCTAGTATCCCAAGGCCGCGCGCTCGAGCCCACAAAACCTCCGTGAGACACTCCGGCGAAGGCGATCCCAGTGGCGAATTCGCAAAAGCCGGGCACGCGGAGATGATTTATACCTGTCCACCATTACCGAGATGTTTACCACTTTTGCATGCTGGGCTGGGGCGAGTGCTAGTTATGCTGAGACTGAAAGCTCCGGGGCTGCGGCGGCGGTGGTCGTTGCGATATCCTTATACTAAAGCTATCCTACCTTATCCACTATTTGCCCACCTCGATGACTTGCCAAAGATCCTTATTCCAACGGTGCTCCACTGATCTGCACTTACACTATCGAGATTTTTCCCCCCGACATGTGTGCTGAGGGTGCAGTTGCTGTGCGAACCTTCTCCCGCTTGGGTAGCTTCCCTAACCATCCGTGAGCCCATCGGGTTAGAATTGGTGAGAGGTGGTAGTGCACCGTTTACACAGTGTGACTGGCGGTCGAAGGGAATATCATGTACTTCACGTTCATAGGTACGAACGGGAAGACACCAGAAAGCTTGGCACTTAGTAAGTTCTCGTCTTTTCTAGGTTACAGATTATGGGGAATAAGGGGCTAATGGGGTTATCTATGGTTGTTGAGGGAGATGAAAAGAAGGTGGGGCGGAGTAAACGGTCGAATATGCAGGCGGAGGCTATTGAGGTGGTGAATGGGGGAAGGGGGAAGGTGACAGGAGCCAGATTGGTGGGCGTGCCAAATGACCTATTTAGTGAGGGGCCGAGACTCTGATGCCCATCAACCCGTCCGGAGGATGTAAGAAAACGAGGGGAAGAATAGTACAATAATAGGTTGCAAGAAAACTGATACCGCCTGCGCCGGCACCCGCTTTCAACCAATCGTGCGTGCCCTTGCCCCCTATGAAGTTTCATTTGCCAACAAGGGCCTTCTCTCGTCCTCTACTGCAGCGCCATTGCCGCTCCCAACCATCCTCCTCCTCTCTTTACGGTCCTTGAGCTCCCAAATAATACACATAACCAACAGCACACCCTGGAGCACTCCCGTAACAACAAATGTGATCCAGCTACTCCATTTGGTTCCCTGCCGGCTGGCAAGACTAATCGCCCAAATGAATGACCCAGGCGTCTGAATGCACATCATGGGGATACTAAGCGATCCGACATGCTTAAGCGTCCAGGTGGTGTATAATTGTGGGAGGTACTGTAGAGAAGCTAGGACCGTAGACTGAATGCCTAGGAAATTTGCCCAAGCGGTGAGTTGTGAGGGGACGCTTGTGTCAGAGCGAGCCGGATAAGACGCTGGAGGAGATAAGAGCGAGAAGTAGAACGTCAGCAAAGCGACAACGACGAGGTGCGCTACGGAGAGGACTGCGACTGTAAGTGCAGATTGAGTCTTTGGTATAGCGAAACGAGAAGTTGCTGGAGCGGGTATAATATCTCGCGGGGGGTAAACGAGGAATAGGAGTAATCTGTATTTTTTTTTCGTTAGCACCCACATAGTTACTCGCCTACAACCTAGAGGTAGAGGAGAAATGAGATAAACTAACATGACCCCAAAACAGGACCACTGCGTGCCAACTTGTACAACGCCCAAACTCGCGGCGAAGCAATTAAACCTGCCAATACCCTTCCCGCAGCACGCAAGCACACCCCTACTCAGGATCAAGATATTCGCAGAAGCGCATGTTCCGCTAGTCACACCGAGGAGTAAGAACACGGGACTAATCCCCTCGGAGGTGCCTCGAGATATTATTCGGTGGTGTTGGGGCAGGTACGAAATCAGGATTCCAGCGAGGATGAAGAGGCTGAAGAATAGGTTAAGATTAGAAGGGTCTAGGAGGCTCGTACACTCTGGTCGTGTGGATAGTAGTAGACCAAGCATTTGTTCTAATTTCTCTTTGGTTTGTGGTTGAGAAGTTGGGGGGTTTGGGGAGCTGATGGTAGGGAAGCTAGGGGAGGTATGACAAAGAGCTCTAGGCTGGGGAAGTGGCAGGTGGTTACCCGGATCCTTGGTCACGTGGTTGTTTGGTACCCGTGACTGAATTCCCCTTTGACTGTGCGGCACTACCTCATCGAACACTACTGGTGTGGGAGGTTTACTACGCCTTCCCTTACTGGGATGGCGTTTCGACCAAACTGTACAGTACTGGAAAACAAAAAATCAGCGGAATGGTATCTCTTGGACTGCTGCAACGGTGGAAAATTTTCGACCACCCCTTTCAGTGTCTTAAACTGTGTTTAAGACACGATTAGTAAGTAAGATCACAACGTCAAGAAAAAGGTTCAAGAGAGCGAGTATGAGGAAGAGTAGAAGAAAATCCAAAGATGCCGCAGCGAAGCCACTCCAAACCATTGCAAACAATTCCTCCTCAGTCACCCGCAGCCATGCTGGCTAAAAGCCATATGCAACACAAAAAAGAGCGAGTGCAAGAGTTTCCAAAAAAGCAAAGCACAGATCCGGGGCAGTTGAAATGATTGATCCACCTATTCCACCCATAACTCCTCTGGCTAAGAACCTGTCATGAATGTGGCTTGGCATGAAAAAGGGTTTCACGTGACACATAGTTATGAGTTACAGGTATGTGATTGTTTCACACATATGACTCATTCAAGTCATATGATTTGTTATGTGTGGGATTTGTGATGCTTTTGCACATGGCTCAAATATGAGTCATGGGATGTGCGCCTGGCGAGTATGCCTTGTGAGTGTGCCTTGCGGGTAAGCCATGTGCATATGATTTATGTTTCACACATGACCTCGTTATGAGGTCATGGGTTTCATGCATATGACTCAGTTGAGTCATATGACTTATTTATTGCGTTATGATTGGTTTATGAGTTTGTGCACATTGTAATGTGTTCACAAGGTGCTAGTCACGTTATCGGTAATGGGTACGATAGTTGGCAGGTGGCCTGCTCTTCCAGAGAGGAGGCGAGAGCTGAGAACTAAAGGAGGCTTCGAGGGTGTACTGAGGAACAAAGAAGTAACCGTTCAACCAAGTATATTGAAATACTGTCAGTCGAAGTCTGCCTTTTCTATCGTAGAAACAGGCAGTCTTTAAATACACAAATCTGTTCATGTCTAGCATGAACGAAACTAATCAAAGGTATCAATCGATACACTTTGGTGAAACTAATTAAGTATCAAAATAATACTTAAAACAAAACATAAAACAAAACCAAGTATCAAACGATGGTTAAAACAAAATATAAAACAAAACCAAGTATCAAACGATACTTAAAACAAACCAAGTATCAAAGCGATACTTAAAACAAAACATAAAACAAAACCAATAACTGAGTACCCGTACCGGTTACACATAGGACCTCTCTATGAGGTCATGGGTTTTGAGCATGTGACCACTTTGGTCACATGACTATTTTGTGATGATTTGGTTTTGCACATGTGACCACTTTGGGTCGCATGACTATGGGCGGGAAGAACACTATATAAGGAGGCCGATGTGGCCGAGGAGGATAAGTTCTTCACGCTTTGTTCTAAGTACATTTCCTTGTCCTTGCCGTCGCTTCGCCCTGAGTGTTTCTTTCGCCCTCATGATGGGCCTTAATGCCTTGGATTCTGGGGGAGATATCTGAGTTCACTCAGTAGTTCCTGGGGTCTTTGCTGTTAAGGTCTGTTAGGTGTTGCATAGCAGATAACTTGATTGCGTCTCGTTTCGTTGGGTTGGTTATCTCACGATACTAGCACTTTGAGCACTTCATCACGGTCGCATACGAGCCCTTTTCGGTAAAATGTCTACAACTTCCTGTCTATCATCTACTCGCAGGTTTCGCATTCGATGGGGGGGATTGAACATTGTGTTTGGGGGGATCACCAGTGTCGTTCTTGGGCCAGCGCATGTCTTTTGTTGTGTTTTAACAAAGTTCTAGGTTCTCGCAATACAAAATGCCCTTAGGTTAGACCAATGACCTTCCCAAGTATCAACTCGTCGTACCAGCCACATCATTCCTCAGGCGGTAGGGCGGTACCCGCCCAGCTCCTCATCATTACGTTTTCGTTTCTACGGTCGGAATCCTACGATGTTGTTTATCACCGTTCCCTTGAAGGTTTTTGTCCTTGCGGCATATATGGTGGTTCAGTCCGGTGTCACCTCCTCGCTACGGTGGGGATGGCTTTGACCCTGAAAAATCATACCCCCTGGTGTGGTTTTTCTTTGCTACCTGGGGTGGTGTGGGATGATTCGCTGCCAGACACTCGCGTTGTCTGTGCGTTTGGGAGGTTTGGTTGTGGTCTGTGGTTGGTGGCTTCACCCATTGCAAGTGGAGCCTACCTTCCGTTTGTCTGCTTCTGTTCGTTCGCCCTCCCCCTTCTTGTCACGTCAGTTGGGGATGCCTCTTGCCCGTTGTTCGGTCCGTGCCTATTGCCGGTCCTGTGGGGCTGGCGTTGGCTGGCTCTGCATACCTTTTTTCTGACTCAGTTGTACTTCGATTCGGCTGGGTTGGATGGTGTGGCTGGTGCTGGTGCCTTCGGGTATTGGTGCTGCCTCTTTTGTAGCTCCAGGCTTTGGCTGGTGGGCTTACCTCGGCTATATGGAGTCTAGGGTTATGGCTCTGTTGGCATGGCCAAGACCAGTGGCTGCCTAATGGGGTTAGGTATAGTTGTCCTGTGGCTGTCGGATGGTTGATCTGTCTGAGGGACTGAGGGGGCTGGATGGGCTCTGTGGTGCCTGGTGTGTGGGCTTGGGGGGGGCTGATTGGAGGGGGAGAGGCACCTGTGAGCACCAGTCGGGAATGCGTTAGGTTGGGCGATGTCTAATTAAGTATTTCTGGCCTGATAGGGCTGTTGGGTGAAGCTGCTGAGTACTGTAAAGCTCCTCGATGACTGGGATGGTTGATGGCCACCTGTGCGGATAGTGGGTTGCGACCACCTGGTTGGACTTGTTTGGGTCTTGCGTGCTGGGCTTTGTGGGGTTTGTTTGGTTTCTTTGGTTTGGCAAATGGGCATGGCTGGTGGGGGCAAGGCACCACGGGTGGGTGATAGGCCACACTGGCCCTTTAGGTCTGTCACCACCTCTACGTATTTCCTTTGTTTATGATTTTGTTTTGGGGGACAGGCAGCGGGTACTGGTCCTCCTCACCATTACGCTCCTCGGAGGCACTTGGCAAAGTGGGTTCATAGGGTCGACTGCCTGGCATGCGGATACGAGAGGTGGACATGTGGGTCACCTCCTTTCTGCCATTGTGTTGCCTGTTGTTTATATTTGTTTTGGTTTTTGTTGGTTTTCTACTGTGTAGGAGGTTTTGCGGGACCATGTTTGGGCCGGGTGGTAGTGATTGTATGTTTGTTGGACGAGGAACCTGGTTGGGTTAGTATTTTGGTCGGCTTCGGCTACGCTTAGGGCTGGTTGGCTTCATACCAGAGGGGCTACGGACTTGAAACGGGACGGGTGCTAGGTTGTTTGATGGTCTTGTAATTAGTTTCCGTGCGGGCATGACTCGGGGATGGCAGGTGTGGGACAGTAGACTTAGTTAGCCTAGGATTAGTGGTATACCGGTTAGCGGTATCCCCGTGCTGGCGGGGGCTCGTCGTATGCCAGTGTTAGTAGTACAAGTTTAAATAAAATTAGATTGACCTCTAAGTACTTTTCCTATTTATTACTTTAACGAATATAAAACACCTTTACGATCTTTATCTTTATTGCAATATTATCATTACGCCAAGGAAAGCTCTTTAAAAAGAAGAGTTAGAGAAAGCTTATGATAGGTGTCCCTGATAGAAGACAGAGGTCTTGTACTGTTAGTAACTTAGGCAGGAGCCTAGTGCTATTGCAAGGCTAAGGAAAGAAACAGAAGAAGAAGAGAAGTATCGTTCCCCGGCATCAAGAACTAACCATCTAAGGAGGGATCATTACATTACAAAGTGTTACCTAGTGCAATGCCAAACGATACAAGACGGCATCCTTCAACCCAGACAGCGAAGGAGATATCCACATTGACGATCAAAACCTCAGCTTAGGGGGATTCAGCGATGCCTTAGATCACGTTTCAGCAGAGCCCTTGAGGGCAGTAAGCCCAGTAACTCCAGAGAAAGGATCACCAGTCAATAGCTCTCCTGTAGGAACTCTATGACCCCAGGGAATGTCTGGATTAGCAGTGCCTGGACCACCGGCCCCGGCCGCTCCCACACCATGCACTAGCATACTTGGAATGACTGAGAATCAGTTTTAGGCATTTCTAGCAGCAACACGAAATACAGGACAAGGAAACATCAAACGACCAAAAGCAAAAGAACTCGACACATACAGAGGAGCCGAAGATAAGCTACAAATATTCCTGGTGCAATGCAAAGGATATTTTGCTATTAAGAGATATGGAGATCACTATGATGAGATCAAGCTTCCATACCTGGAATCTCTACTAAGAGGACTCGCGGGACAATGGATCTTGCCTTTCCAAGTTGGAAGGAAACAGAGGGAATGGGTCACATAGGAAGAGTTCAAGACAATACTCTTCGAGCAATTTGGGGATCCCAATGCCCAAGAGACAGCAAGACGAAAGTTGGAAAAACTCCAACAAGGAAAACAAACCTTTTCGGCATACTGGAATGAATGCCGACTATTGGAATACGAGGCTGAGTTTGATGATGCTACTCTCTACATTATCCTCCTAAGAAACTGCAGCCAGAGACTCCGAGAAGCATGGGGAATCCGCGACTTACGCTACACAACAGTAAAATGATTTGCAAGATGGGCGATCGATAAGGAAAGCAAACTAAACATGGTGCGAAGCAACCCGGAAAACACTATAGCACACAGGGTGGTCCAATCGTGTAGGATTTTCGATAGAACCTTCAAACCACAAGTAGCTAGAGGAGAAAGTTGAGTACTACCACCAGGCGAGCCAATGGAGTGGGACAAATCAAGGGCAGGACCTGCTCTGAACTTGTCTAAGGAAGAA